TCCTGAATCCACAGTTTGAATATACATATATATATATATATATATATATATATATATATATATATATATATATATATATATATATATATATATATATATATATATATATATTTAAACACAAAATACCACATACACCAATGGTATTTATATTGATTTGCAACTAAATACGCCCACTAAAACATTATAGCGACACACGCTTTTATTTATAATGATATAAATAGTAGTGCATTAATATATTTAAAGAAAGTAATTTTATATTTAAAGTAACCGCAGATTTATTATATTTTTTAAAATTATTTATATTTAATAAAAAAAATTGTATTATTTTCTTCTTTTTAGTCCATTTATAAAAGCTTGTAATTATAAACGTTTTTATGTATTTATTATATATAAAGCGTGACTGTTCTTAGATTAGTTAGAAAAAACTGGATATTCAGCGGTACATTTTCTACTCGAGCGCTCAACTTCTAGAACAGGTAAACTCGAAAGATCTCGACCAGGAATCTATCGCCTTGAGTGGTTTACATTTAGGCTGTGCCACAAATATTTCTCCAGTAGCCTCCCTTCGTCTGTACGTTTGACGCCGTATAGAACCTTCGTATCCCATTTTACGCAGTCACGCTCCCCCTATCGTGACAGCCCATAAATGTCTTTGATGGCAGCAATACACACATACACACGTTTTTAATGGCAGCAATACTCTGGGAACACATACATACAAATGTCTTTGATGGCAGCAATACTCTGGGAACACATACATACAAATGTCTTTGATGGCAGCAATACTCTGGGAACACACACATACAAATGTCTTTAGAATACAAGCTAATCTCTCATTTCTAACACACGAGCATTACCGTTTTAAGCTCATTATACACCATCTAACTTGTTAACGGGAATTCTGAAAAGTAATAAAGCACGACGCTAAAATTAACTTTTAGCTTCGGCCAGAGATAAAAAAAATAAAGCTAATACTCGAGCTAATACCTAAAATAACATTAAGGTAAAATCTTGTCAGCAGTGGTCTGGTGTCGGAAGGTCTGACCTGTATCGAAAACATTCACGTTAGAGGAACTGACAAGCTTACAGGATTTACAGACCACATCAGCAGTTGTATCTTGTATGACAAAATACTCATAGAAATGGAAACATTAAGTTAATAAAGTTATCAATTTATCCTAGGATCACAAACTAAAAACAGTACAATTATATAGAGTTTACATGTTTCTGTAATCTCGACATAAGTATGAAAAACGTAGTGAATGTTCCATAACGTGAATAAAGTATCAGCGTAGTTGTGTGGACTCATTTACGCAGTACAATTAGCCTTGGTCCTTATTGCCTTTATCACATTACAAAATAACGACAGTTATCATATGTTAGATAATTCCGAAGATTTTAGTATGTGTTCAAAAAACAAACGAAAAAAACAAAACACGTATATCATAAGTTATATAAATGGATTTTTTAGTAAATATATAAAACAATTTCCTTAACTACAAAAGGAAGGCTTGATATTAAAATTAAGTGGGCGATATAATAAAGATGTATATAAACGCATATAATTGCTTTCCATTAATTGTGTCCATGTAAACATACTAATCAAATACAATTATAAAATTAGGTAATTGGAAATTTCTCTAGCCTATGGTATGGAACACAGACGACACTAAATTGTCCACGGGAGATAACAATTAAAATTATCCACTTGATTTGTGAGAGTAGGGTTATATACCTTGAAAACGATTAATACTAATAGTTTCGCTGTCTGTCTATCTGACAAGAACGCTCTGTCTGACAAGAACGCTTTGTCTGACAAGAACGCTCTAGAGAAAACACAAGCAAAATAAAAACATGCACAGTAATTCGAAAAACGAAATATGACGTCGACACATTTAGCGTAGAGTAGAACATAATCTCAAACCAGAGAGTGCACACAGTAAAATGACGTCATTGATTATCGCGTAAACATTGAAAAAAAGGAAATGTTGTCTAATCTAAATGGTTTGCGTGAAGAGTTTCTTGCATACAATTCTTCGGGTAGGGGCGAAGCCCCACCCCCCGCGTAAGAACGTCTGAGGCCCCCCCCCCCCTCCACAACTCAAAAGAAATTTCCTCATCGATACTCTATAATAAAATTACCGCCTAATTAATGTGTCTAATCTAAAAAGTGGTTTTCTTGCAATGGGACGGTAGACATGTTTTTTTTTGGGGGGGGGGGGGGGGAGGGGGGGGGGGGGTGGAGGGGTGGGTGTGGGGGGGGGGTGTGGGGGGGGGGGTTGGGGTGGTGTGTGGGGGTGGGGGGGTGGTGTGTGGTGTGTGGGTTGGTTTCAGTGTTTCTTTCAGACTTTTTCCTCCCCGGAGAGGGGTGGGGGTACTTGAAATTTTCGGGGGCGGGGGTAGAATTTTCTGGGAGGGGGCGGACACTGGAAAAAGTATATAATTATATTTCGTTGAATGGGACGGTAGACATGTTTTTTTTGGGGGTGGGGGGTGGTGGAGGGGTGGGGGGGTGGTGTGTGTGGGGGGTGGGGGTGGGGGGTGGTGTGTGGGGGGGGGGGTGGTGTGGGGGGGGGGGGTGGGGGGGTGTGGGGGGGTGGGTTGGTTTCAGTGTTTCTTTCAGACTTTTTCCTCCCCGGAGAGGGGTGGGGGTACTTGAAATTTTCGGGGGCGGGGGTAGAATTTTCTGGGAGGGGGCGGACACTGGAAAAAGTATATAATTATATTTCGTTGAATGGGACGGTAGACATGTTTTTTTTTGGGGGGGGGGGTGGGGGGGCGGTGTGTGGAGGGGGTGGTGTGTGGGGGTGAGGGGTGGGGGTGGTGTGTGGTGGGGGGTGGGGGTGGTGTGTGGGGTTGAGGGGTTGGGGGTGGTGTGTGGTGGGGGGTGGGGGTGGGGGTGGTGTGTGGGGGTGGGGGGGTGGGGTGGGGGTGGTGTGTGTGGGGGGGGTGGGTTGGTTTTAGTTTAGAGAAAAGAGACAGCACTATCAGCCTAGCGCCCGTTGTACCCTTCCTCAACGGGCCATTTTTCTCGTCTATAATAATAGTTTCGCTGTCTGTCTGTCTATCTGACAAGAACGCTCTGTCTGACAAGAACGCTTTGTCTGACAAGAACGCTCTAGAGAAAACACAAGCAAAATAAAAACATGCACAGTAATTCGAAAAACGAAATATGACGTCGACACATTTAGCGTAGAGTAGAACATAATCTCAAACCAGAGAGTGCACACAGTAAAATGACGTCATTGATTATCGCGTAAACATTGAAAAAAAGGAAATGTTGTCTAATCTAAATGGTTTGCGTGAAGAGTTTCTTGCATACAATTCTTCGGGTAGGGGCGAAGCCCTACCCCCCGCGTAAGAACGTCTGAGCCCCCCCCCCTCCCCAACTCAAAAGAAATTTCCTCATCGATACTCTATAATAAAATTACCGCCTAATTAATGTGTCTAATCTAAAAAGTGGTTTTCTTGCAATGGGACGGTAGACATGTTTTTTTTTTTGGGGGGGGGGGGGGGGGGGGGGGGGTTGTGGGGGGGTGGGGGGGGGGGTGGGGGTGGTGTGTGGGGGGTGGGTTGGTTTCAGTGTTTCTTTCAGACTTTTTCCTCCCCGGAGAGGGGTGGGGGTACTTGAAATTTTCGGGGGCGGGGGTAGAATTTTCTGGGAGGGGGCGGACACTGGAAAAAGTATATAACTATATTTCGTTGAATGGGACGGTAGACATGTTTTTTTGGGGGGTGGGGGGTGGTGGAGGGGTGGGGGGGGGGGTGGTGGAGGGGTGGGGGGGGGGGGTGGTGTGTGTGTGGGGGGGGGGGGGGGTGGGGGGTGTTGTGTGGGGGGGTGGGTTGGTTTCAGTGTTTCTTTCAGACTTTTTCCTCCCCGGAGAGGGGTGGGGTACTTGAAATTTTCGGGGGCGGGGGTAGAATTTTCTGGGAGGGGGCGGACACTGGAAAAAGTATATAATTATATTTCGTTGAATGGGACGGTAGACATGTTTTTTTTTGGGGGGGTGGGGGGTGGGGGGCGGTGTGTGGAGGGGGTGGTGTGTGGGGGTGAGGGTGGGGGTGGTGTGTGGGGGTGGTGTGTGGGAGTGAGGGGTTGGGTGGGGGTGGTGTGTGGTGGGGGTGGTGTGTGGGGGGTGGGGTGGGGGTGGTGTGTGGGGGGGTGGGTTGGTTTTAGTTTAGAGAAAAGAGACAGCACTATCAGCCTAGCGCCCGTTGTACCCTTCCTCAACGGGCCATTTTTCTCGTAATAAAAGAATATTCCAATCTCAGTAATACAAAATATTAAGAATTAAACTTTTATTTTGTACTAATATGTACTTATATGTGATAGTAGAGATTTCTTAATAAACAAACATGCTAGATATGAGATACAATAGATAAAATATTAACTACTTAAACATAGGATTTACTTAAATGTTCACATTTATAATACAAAGCCTTACAGATCCCAAATTAACAGTTACTATCTACTTTATGCGAAGTTAGGTGGTATATATACATCTTTCGAAAAACTATGCGAAAAAATATTATTGAAAAAATTGCACAATCATTACACACGTTATTAGAGTTAAACTTCACACGATCCGAGTGAATGTCTAATTAAAGATATAGTGGTAGATGACAACTACACTACTAGTCTAGTTATGAATATGCAAGAAATAAATGACACCATCATAGTCGTTTTTTACCTGTTTTAATGGCTAACACACGCACAGTCAATCTATGAGGAATTTCAATTCCAGATGAGCGTATAAATGGCTTTATTACATCATGATAGCAAAATAAACTCTGTTGTAGTTTTTAAAATAATTTTTTAAATAAAATGTTTGGTTTAATGTTCGTTAATTTTAAACTCCTTATGTATACTCCCCATCAAGAAAATATTGCCTTAGTTAAATGTTTACATCTATTTATTTTGATACATGAAATGTTTCTTATGTTTATATAAATAATTTGACTACTGTATATCTATTATTTTACAATAGCATTGTTTTCGGGTTGTTTACATTCGACGAAGTTTCATCTCAACAAAGTCTAGAGAGTCAGAATAGTTTGTAATGCTCGACCAATGAATTCCTTTATTATCAACACGACTCGCCCATTCACCGTTGACGTTAACCAAGTGACAAGCATGATACCACCAACCACCTCTACTCCTGTCTACAGCACAGTTGCCACTGTCTCTATCGTTATCAGAGTCAATGGTTGTAAACTTCATGCCGTTGTGATAACTAAAGCTATCTTTAACATTCCCACCACTGAATGGCGTGTAGCTCATCTTATACTTTGCTGCTTCATTTTCTACCTTAAAACCTCTGTACACAGCGTAGTCAGTGTTTCTTCCAGACTTTTTTCTCCGGGGGGGCACTTGAAATCTTCGGGGGGGCGGTAAACTTTCTTCGGGGGGGCGGACACTGTTAAAAGTATATATTTTCTATATAAATTATATAAATTTCATTTCGTTCGGGGGGCGGTAAAAAATTTTCGGGGGGGGCGAAGCCCCCCCGAAGAGATGCCTGGAAGAAACTCTGAGCGTAGTAGTCTTTACCTTTATACTTCATGTCAAATCTGAGTTCAGTATAACCCTGTGTTAGACAAAACATTAGAAATATTTAGATATTGCATTGTGTTTGAAATATTGTAAGTATTGATCCCTCTATACTATATGATAATTATACATATCAATTAAAAAACGTAACGAAAATATATTATAAACAATATACACAATTTTCCAAAACACATTATTACAATAATACACACACTGCTTGAAAACTTTCTTTGTAAAAAAAATATTGAATAAACTTGTTTTGATAGTTCCTGTATCTACCCCATCATTAAAACAAAAGACTTCTGTTCAGAAAGGAAATATTACATTATCTATTGCCTGCTTACATTGCAACTTAAAAATATATTCCCTTACAAGAAATTCTATTTATATTCAATTTATGTATGGCTTTTCTAGAACTCCCTCCTTTTCAATTAATCACCTTACATTGCCTGCCGTTGTAACACGCTCGCAGTTAATAAACCCATTTCCCTTACAATATATATTACTTATGTACTTTTCCTTCTTTTGATATGTTCAATAGCCCTAATTCTAAATCTTACAATGTATCTTATTTGTATCTCCATATGTATGTTGTGTAATGGGGTTAATATAATAAAGGTGAGGGCAGGCGGGAGGGTGTGGAATAGAACTGTTGATAAAACCGGTAGAGGAAGAAATGGCCGGCGGAAAATATCCTGCTGACTGCATTACACTATTCTTTAAGGTTCGTTACATAACCACGATCTTTATTGTATAAGCTGTGTTACCCTTCCTAAAATATCTAATCTGTAAATCGGTTATCTAATAAACACTTCTGAAATCAAAGGATCAAGACACTTAGCTTTTTTCCCCATAAAAATAAAACACGCTATGTTAATTTATTCATCTATTAACATACTGTATGTGCAGTAAATGTACCTTCGTCATATCAAGTGAAGATGTATAGTATTTGTTTCGTTATTTAGCTATTGTTTTGTAAAATGTAAAAACTCAACAAAATACATTAGGATGCATTCGCCATTAAAATAGCACGTTACTTAATCTAGGTCCATTTAAACGTATTTTAAATACTCAATGCCATGACTGATGATTTAAATGTGCATTTCAGTGACATGTGTACACCAGACGCATAGTCCAATCGATATGAAGATTAGATAAAATTATCAACATGAATGTATTAGTAACTGTAAACAATTGTATGCTATATTAATAGCAGAAATTTCAAGACTTTGCATTCACTACGTATCTCCACATTTGCAGCTTATATTATCCATCCATCTATTTATCCCCCTTTTTCAACAGCCCATTAACAGTTTTAGCCAGATTCAATACATTCTTCCGCTCATATTTGTCATATATCTTCATCGTTCAATTCTTGAGTTTTATTTATTTATTTTATCTCCACCTCAGCAATGCATCTAGGTCAAGTTGTAGCCTACATTATGGTAGCAATGTAGAGTCTGTCTAAAAGAGCATCGTATTATTTTCTCGATCAGTATACAACCTCTACGGCGGCTTTATACTAAACTCGTTTACAACCTCGAATGTATAAGGGTTACGGTTGGGTAATTTATATTTAACTCTCGTCTTCCGAGTTTGTTGATTACAACCATTTAGATACGCATCACCGCCTCTGGTATCTCACCAATCCCTCCCCTTTCTGACGTTTTTGGCCCCATGACCCCACCCCTACAACCCTCGTGCCCCCATCCCTTTTCGTACTATTTATTCTGTATAAATATGGTTTCTATTGCTCCTTTTTTTAATCGGTTTTATTAACATAACATTCAAACAAACATTGTAATGATGTTTTAACACTAATTTAATAGTATTTTATATCTACTATCCATTGGTCCACAGCTTACATGACCCCATGACCCCATCCGTCTATCTCCCCAATTCCCCTAGACCCCCACCTCTTTTCACATGAAGTCGAATATCCTGAAAGTCATCCTTAAAATGGTTTTGCTTACCTTTATTAACATGTACGAAACTATTCAAATTCTTTCATGAGAACACTGCTATCCAATTTTAACACGTTTTTCTTAACTCAGCTTCGTGTTTGTGGATGTGTTTGTTGTTAAAATTGACATCGAAAATTAGCCCACTTCTGATTGCTCTATAGATCTGAAATTTGGCATGCAGGCTACTTTCGCCTAACAATTTCAGATGCAATCATAAAAACTAGCAATTAGAGAACGTAATTAACTTAATTTAATTACGCCCTAAGGACCATAAAATTGAGGACATGATTTCTAAAGATACCGACAAGACTGAAGACCTATTGACACAGTTACTTCGGCCCCAATCGATGTGAGCGCGCTGTCCGTGATCGTATAGTGGTTAGTACTTCGCGTTGTGGCCGCGACAACCCAGGTTCGAATCCTGGTCGCTCAAGATTTTTAGTCCGTGTATTTATAAACACTTAGTCAAGTCATACTTAATCAAGTCATTGGATAAAGTAGAAAATAAACTATATAAAAAACTTTTTTTAAAAACCACGTTTTTCATGTGTAGCAACGGACTAAAAAGGAGAAAATAAAATACTTAAAAAAAACTTTTTAAAAACCACGTTTTTCTTGTGGACTAAAAAGTAGAAAATAACTATTTACATACATTTGATGACAAAAAACGTGGGTCGGGCAGATGGGTCGGGAAATTTGATGGTGAACGTACCCACGTTTTTTGTCATCAAATGTATGTAAATAGTTATTTTCTACTTTTTAGTCCACAAGAAAAACGTGGTTTTTTTTTAAAGTTTTTTTTAAGTATTTTATTTGACCTTTAAAACTCCACCGTATCCCCAAACATCATTATAGCTTCACGCCTACCCATCCAAAACATGTCGGTACTAAGCAGTCAAATAATCTTAGCTACGACTATGCACATCGACACAGAAGCACCACACGTTATCCCCTCCCACTCAATCACTAACACTCCAACCTGTTCGGAACACTACCCCCCCCCCCCCCCCCAACGACCTCACCATACCCCAGAACATCAGCTTTGATTTGTTTGTGTTTTTTATTCCTGTTATATCTAGTATTGTACAGCCATCCGTGACGATAGTTTACAGAAGACAATGAAAAGATCAAGCAAAGCTTGTTATTACCTCCCCTAATTTTTAAATCGTTTAAAACATAAATTATCTGCCCCTAATAGCCGTAAATAATTCGACCGGGCTCTACGATGGTAAACAAATCACGCGACTGGTAGGGTGGGGCAGGTAGCGACATGGTCTGTTGGGTATGCATGGAGAGTGAGAGAGGGGGGGGGGGGTTCTGCGTGCGTCTACGTCTTGTCCCGAATGGTCCCCATGAAGAGAATTATATACGTAGATGTTTATTGTACAAAATGGGATGAAATCCACTTAAACCTACTTTATTTTCGACTATTCTACTATATGTTATAATTTTCACCCTCGTTTATAATAAAATGTTCTAAACCAGCCTTTGACCACTTTTCTTTAACCAACATGCTTTAAACCCAATGTATTTTATGTATTTATTTACTTATTTATCTATTTATTTCTAATACCATTTGCATCACTCCAACTACCTTGTAAATATCTCCCAAACGGCATGTTATGTTACAGTATTTTTTTTAATTATAAAACACGATTACATTAGGCCCAAAATTAGTTTGGACATTATAGTATCTGGTTTGTTATCTCAGTATAGTTACACATCTCATTGACATGTTTGAAATTACTCAGGAAATAGATAATTTAAAATTAATTGAAGCAGGCTACAAAAAGCTTTTTGAGGGGGATCCTTTTTTTTTTTTAGTTCCGCAATGATAATAACACATCAATATATTTTCTTACAAGAAATATCTAGATTAAACGAACGTGTGAATGCCAATTCTAGTACAATATCCTTCACTTACCGAATCAGCTATTCACTGCTAGTCAATAATACCATCTTCTCTAAAATGTATTACCCTAGTTCTATAAATACTGTCCTCTCCTTTGAATTACAACATTTTACCATTCCTATCCATCTCCTATTCATAACCCTAAGCTTTACATATCGCTAACCATTTTATACACTCTATGTACTGGTGTCCGTTGAATTATAAAATAGGTGAGTGTCCTATTGCAGTTTTATGTTGAATGGGGAGTAATTTACAGGGGTAGTTAATCTGAGGAAATGATAGGGGGGTAATGACTTGAGGATAGTTAAAGAGGGGTGGAAGAGCGGGAGCTGTAACATTCTATCCTCAGCTTTGCCATGACATATGAAACTAGCTCAAGACCACTAAAATTGTAACATTATTTCTAGAGATGAGATATTAAAAAATAAATAAGTGTATTTTATTTGCAATTCAAATAATATAATAAAATAGATAATGTTATCTCTTGCGAAGTATTGGAAAAGACATTTGTTTATCGATAGAAAAATAATGTTTTTATTTGTTAATAGACGGTCTTTAACAGTTGTATACGTGCAAGTTGTGTCAGTTGAGATGTAAAATACAAAATCACTCAATCAAAAATGCGTGTTTCATACGTAATCTCGCGTGTCATATTAGTTTTTACACTAAATTTAATCGTTAATAAAAGTACTAAATTTTAAAGTAGATACTTTTTTTGAAAATCACGCAGAAGAAATTATTGTCAAACTGAGAAAATGATGTTGAAACGAGCCCATGTTTTGTGAAACAGTTATCATATAACTAAACTAACAAACTAGTGTATACATGTATCATATAAAGTGATTGTTTTAAGAATTAGAAATTAAGTGATAGCATGTTTATCTTGAAGTGTGTATGGTACAATCACCTTAATACTCCCCTAAAACACATTACTCAGTGTTATTTCGTGATGTTCTAGTACAAAATTCAGTTTCCATGCAGGGTTTTAAGCAGCCAATATTTCCTTACCAAATCTGTCAACTTTGAAATTACATCATTTCCGATCCAAAAGTCTCCAGATGTTGAACCAAATCCGTTTTTATAATCGTTCCAAGTTCTTGTAAAGTTTACATCACCTTTGAGACGTCTCTGTAAGAAATAATAAATATTCTAATATAAAGTTTTAAAGCTTCTGTTTAAAATGACGGCGGTGGTAAACATACGGTTACTGAGTTCATTTGATTTATTCCAAGGTTTAATTATCTTTGAGATTAATTAAGATCTCTAGTTATATCATACAACAAACAATTTACTTAAAATCAAATCAGTCGTTAGTTTATTATACTTAATATTTTCATATTAACTCTCTAAACATTTCCAACACTTTGTGTATTAGACAGCTAAAATGTTTTTGGGATAACACACTTGCTTTAACTTTTGCTTGTGTTAAATATTGAAACCAAATAAATCGCAATTTTTGTACATACAACACTAAGTATATTTTTCACAATCAGATTTTTAAAAGTAAATTTACACTGAACATTGTCGTTGTCTATCGCATAGTCTGATTTTCTCTATTATTTTAAAATAAAAACTTTTATCAAGAAGAACAATAAACTAGACTACGAATCAGCTTTCACATCACAATCCCCAAAACATTGAGTTATGTTAAAAATACTGCTGTAAAATAAAACACATAACTTTAGGTCAACCAATTAAAATATTGACCAGCGCCCTACCAGAACTACAATAAAACTTTAGCTGGTGTTTTAAACGTCGATATAATCTATTATAATCATATTAATTTCAAATAGCCAAACAAAAGATATTATAAAAAAAGCTCGGTATATAGTTCAAATATTACTTTTTTTTTCTTTAGACCGTAGCTAAGCGTCTATAATTTAGTATCATACATTTGTGTTAAAAGATGTAAATACATCAAAATTGTTAGAAAAAAATATCGGAAAAAACTTATTTGGTAAATGTCTAAGAATGTTTTAAATGACAAAATAACCTGTATAATAATCCATCCTCCACTGTCAGTCTTGTTATCACACAATGTCCTGTTAACATCTACTCCAGCCTCTGTCATGTCCGAGAAAATACGATCGTTCATGCTGGTACATTTTATCTCCTCCAAATGGGCGTCTATATCAATGTCTGTTTTGTTTAGTAGTGATACAGCTGTTTGTAAATCCTTCAGTGTCTTTAACTGTGTCTCTGACTGTAATTTGTTGCTTTCATCCAGTTGTTGAATGCTTATATTGTGACGTTCCAATATCGCTGTGCTATTTTTTAACATTTCGTTAGTTAAATTTAGTAAATCTTTTTTGAAAACTTGCATGGTTTTTGTTAAAATTTCACTTTTATTTAACCTTTGAGACAAAGTTTGAACATCGAATGATACATTAACCACACTATTATTCAGTTTATCCAGTTGTTTTTGTAAAACAATGTATAGATTTGTTACATTTTGTACCGACCTATTTTGTTTTTCAAGTGTGTTATTGTTCGCTTGTATCTGTTCAATTGTCTTTAGATAGCTTTCAGTGAAGTTGTATTTAAAATGCGTGAGCTCTTGATTTGTGTTATTTAAGGTGTTCAATCTGTTATAAACGTTGTTCATTTGATTTTCAAGTCTCTGAATTGTAGATCCTTGGGCAGATAACAAGCTATTGAATCTACTTTCCATCGCATTAGTAAGGTTAACCAGAGTTTCATCACCCTTCTCCTTTGTTAATTCTGTTTTGTGATAACTAAGGTTAGAACGTTTGTCATCTGTTAAAAACTGTAAATTCATCTTCAAGTCAGCTCTGTTTAACTTATCAGAATATTTAAATGTTTTTAGAAACTCAGACATTCTATCAATTGTTTTATCAAACTCTGGAGTTTTAGCCTCTAAGGTCATTAACATCAGTGGCTTAAAATTGTCTTGGTCAACAGGTTTGGTTTTATTTTCTTTCATCTCAATGAGACCCCTTTTATTTGTGTAATACACATCACATCCAAACACTGTACTAAAACAATCAGAACGTTTTGTAAATGATACGGTCAATTCTCCAAACACTTTTGAAAACTTTCCTTCAACTTTTGATCCAATTACTTTATAATCTCGAACTCTTGATTCTGATTCTGATACACACGCCAACACAATTTTCCCCTCTAATTCACTGATCCTATAGACTGACATGTTGACAAGAGCTGATATTTCATTATCTTCTCTTGTGTTCTCCACACAATGTAACTTGCCACAAAATAAATCTTTACCCTCCATATAATATTCTCTTTCTAGTGAGATGTCAAGTCCTGAAATATATTAAAATAAACCAATGAAATTTGGAAAACTAAATTAATCAAGAAATACTTTCTTTTTATACACTTCAAGCACAACAGCATTCGATTAATCATTTCTTATTCAATTTCTTCATTGTAAATTATTTCCAAAGAAATCTATTTATTAATTGCAAAAAAATAAAAAATAAATAAAAATAAAACATAAAACTGAAATTGTGTACAACAAGTTGTATTATTGTAATAATCGGTAACTTATTATTCAATATGTGTTAGTTTATTTAAATTACTTGGACAGAGCCAATAATTGAAAACAGGTAGGTTTTTTATCGATGTTTGTGTTAACACATTACTTACAAATTAACATATACACAACTAAATACAAAACTAGGTTTAAGCGTTCAATGGTAGAATTTTTTAAAAATTAATTAAAACAAAATATGTTATGCATTTTAATGTTTAAATATAGTTTCTCAAACGTAAAACAAATAGAAATTGGATTAAAACTGAAGTAATTTACAATTAGCTAGTTTCAAGCTCGGTCACTTCTCTAATGAAGTACATTAGCTAGAGACAGCAACGCATCATAGGAAAACAAACATCTCTAAAACCCCATAAACTTCTACCTTGCTAAGTGTAGCAAATCTTATTCAGAAATAAATTATGGATGATATTGTGGTAAACAAATATAACACACCGAACATAAAACAGGCAATAATGAAGTTTGTTGCCGACATTTATGTCGTAAAACACATTGAAAGTACATTCGAAGGAACAAATCATATGGCACAGAACCTGAAACAGGCAAAGACTATTCAAAAGATAGTGATTGATTAACCCTGCTCTGGTACCTTACAAAAAATTACCATTTTGTTACCATGGGGCCAGTTTGACCCCATGGTGAAAAATAGGCTTTTTGACCAAAATAACTGCATTATTTTATTATTTATTGTTTACCTTGACCTAATAAGAGGTGATAATGTGTTAGTACGTCCAAATAAATATTGCATAGTTCCATGAGAAAATTTTTGTTATTTTAACCACTGTATGCAAATTGCTATTGCTGGCATTGATTGTGTAATAACTTTGTATGTTCTTCGCACACCAAATGATTACAGTCATTTAAGACTAGTTTGCTTTACTTGACACATGATCTGGGACACATGTAACACTCTCTAGCATAGTCCTGGATGAGAATGTGTGGTGCTTGCTGTTTGTGTCGGTATATTTAGGGGTAAATATCTTTTTCACATTGACGGTACTATGGGGTCTATATGACCCTAAGCGAACAAAAATCTAAACAATAAATAATCAGTAATACTTTAAAACTATCATACATGTGTAATGTACTTAGGAAGGCCTTACAAAAAATACATGGCAGGTGATGTCACTAAACATGGTAGTTTTCAAAATAATCTGGTCCAAAGAGGGCTTGGGGTCACATAGACCCCGTGGTACCAGAGCAGGGTTAAAAAAGTTATTTAAAAAACATTTTTGAAGATGATATCAAGGAACAGTTAGGTTGGTTACTTATACATGAAGAAAATACTTCTGCCTAAAGCAACCTTTTTTTGGACGGCTGTGGTAAACAAATATAATGGCAAAGAACATAAAACAGGCAATAATGAAGTTTGTTGCCGACATTTATGTCGTAAAATACATTGAAAGTACATTTGAAGGAACAAATCATATGGCCCAGAACCTGAAACAGACAAAGACTATTCACAAGAAAGTGATTGGTTAAAAAAGTTATTTTAAAAAACTTTTTTGAAGATGATGTCAAGGAACAGTTAGGTTGGTTACTTATACATGAAGAAAATACTTCTGCCTAAAGCAACCTATTTTTGGACGGCTGATGGATTTTAGCTTACAAAATTCTTGACTTTGGTTCCGTGAGATGATAATCTAACTCTAACTATGGAACAGAAATAAAGACTATACTGATCATTCTGTTCTTACATATAAAGATTAAAAGAAAATGACAAATGTTTTTCCTCTGTCCGTCGACAATGACGTTAACAAGCGAATAATTGTATACCGCGGTGTTTGGGCATAAGTTAATTTTTAGAAATGATTGACATTTGTAATATTGTTTTTTTAAGCGAAATTATTATCAAATTTATAAATAAAATAAATTGGGAGTGATCTCCCTTAAACTTTCTCCGGTATTATTAAATAACACTACTGGGAAGGACAACACCATTTTTAATTTCATAAACTTTTAAAACTAAAAAAGTATCTCGTGATAAAATAATTGAGCATGAAGAGAACGGCTAAAAATATCTGAATAATAGTTCGGAATATTAATACTTTATAAATTCATATTGAGAAATTGGAAAGAGCGTAAATTACTACTTACGAACATCAGAAATTACTTAGAATTCGACAAAAAGGAGAGAAAGTGAACTTTTACTAACATTTCAAATTTCATTTATCTATCTAAAATAATAATCAAGTCACACGCTTATGAAAAAATAAGAGCAGAATAAGTTCAACTTCTGGTTACCGGAAATCACTGAAAAGTTCATGCGCAACTGCAAATTAAATATTATAGCTGTATACGAAATCTCATTAACCTAGCTATAACGGTACTCAAGTTATCGCGTCGAAAGACAATCACACACATATACACATTCAAAAATACACACATACACACATACACACATACACACATACACACATAATTACATACAAACATACACACATACACACGTACACACGTACACACATACACACATACACACATACACGCATACACATATACACACATACACACATACACACATACACACATAGACACATACACACATACACACATACACACATACACACATACACACATACACACATACACACATACACACATACAAACACAAATTCACACATACACACATACACACATACACACATACACACATACACACATACACACATACACACATACACATACACACATACACACATACACACATACACACATACACACATACACATACACGCATACACACATACGAACATAAACACATACACACATACACACATACACACATACACATATACACACATACACACATACACACATACACATATATACACATATACACATACACACATACACACATACACACATACACACATACACACATACACACATATACACATACACACATACACACATACACACATATACAGATACACACATACACACATACACACATACACACATACACACATACACAAATACACGCATACACGCATAAACTCATATACGCATACACACATATCGCCCATAAGCGCATACGCGTATACATATACACATACATACACACATACACACATATACACATACACGCATAAACACATACACACATACACGCATACACGCATACACGCATACCCGCATACACTCATACACGCATACACGCATACACGCATACACGCGTACACACATACACACATACACACATACACACATACACACATACACACATACACAAATACACACATACACACATACACACATACACACATACACACATACACACACACACATACACACATACACATACACACATACACACATACTCACATACACACATACTCACATACACACATACACACATACACACATACACACATACACACATACACACATACACACATACACACATACACACATACACACATACACACATACACACATACACACATACACACATACACACATACACACATACACACATACACACATACACACATACACACATACACACATACACACATACACACATACACACATACACACATACACACATACACACATACACACATACACACATACACACATACACACATACACACATACACACATACACACATACACACATACACACATACACACATACACACATACACACATACACACATACACACATACAAAAATGCACGCATACACACATACACACATACACACATACATACACACATACACACATACACAATTACACACATACACAAATACACACATACACACATACACACATACACACATACACACATACACACATACACACATACACACATACACACATACACACATACACACATACACACATACACACATACACACATACACACATACACACATACACACATACACACATACACACATACACACATACACACATACACACATACACACATACACACATACACACATGCACACATACACACATACACACATGCACACATACACACATACACACATACACACATACACACATACACACATACACACATACACACATACATACATACACACATACATACATACACACATACACACATACACACATACACACATACACACATACACACATACACACATACACACATACACACATACACACATACACACATACACACATACACACATACACACATACACACATACACACATACACACATACCACGCATACACACATACAACATAT